ACTTATGGTTTCTGGGGGTAAAAGAGGGAAGGATGGATATATTCGGAATCTGGGATTGGCTGATACAAGCTACTATGTACATAACAGATAAACAAGGTCCTACTGTATAGTACAGAAAACTATACTCAATGGCTTGTAGAAACTTGTAATGAAAAAGAACATGTAAATACATTGTATAACTGAATCACTATGCTGTACAGCAGAAACTAATACAACATTGTAAATTAAAAATAAATAAATAGATAAATGTATAGAGGAAAAAAAATCACAATGATCAGTCCCACACCAGACCAATTAAATCAGCATCTCTGGGGATAGGGCCCAGGCTGTTGTTTCCTTTTTAAGCTTCTCTGGTGAGTTCTAAGGCACAGGTAGGGCTCAGAGTCATGAGATATCAATTCCAGGCTCTCAGAACCCAATTTCAAACTTGTAGGAGAGGCCTCCAGTTGGCTCTGTTCATCTCTGCATGTCAAATTACAGGTTTGTTTATGAATGGGCTTCCCTTAAACTCCAGACTGTTAAATAAATGATTAAAGGGTGATTAAGTGCTATAATAAAAACATGAGTAGGGCAGAGTCCGAGAAGAGGTGGACTGTGTGGTGAATGTGCCAGAAGAGGACTTGACAGAGTAGGCAGGCTGGGCTCTGGAAGAGTAACAATATGACAGGCCAGTGGGATCAGGTAAGTACCTGTGAGGCAAATGCAGAGGAGAACTAGGTAAGTGTACCACTCTTCCAGGCCCTGCTGCTCACAAGGCCAAAAAGGAAGGGAATGACAACTACCTTGGAGGGACTTATAATCTGCAAAAATATGAATGATTCTTTGGTCTCACTCTGGAGGGACCATGGAAGATGGCTGGTGTCAGTGAATCCAGGCTGCTTAGCACTTAGCATAATGAAAAAATGTTGGGAGGGGTGGAAAAAGATTTTGGGATTTTAATTTTTCTGTGGTAGCATGAGAGGGCAATTTCCTTTCGAAATCTACATTTCTGTGGAAAGAAGATATTTCCTTGTGAATGGGAGGAAATGTAATCAAATTTCCAGCATTCCATACTGCTGGCATTGCATCATTAGGACAGAGGTCCTGTGATGCCCACTTAGCTCCAAAGAGCTAAGATGGACATACTCTGAAAAAAAAACCCCAAAATAAATAGAGAGTGAATCCCTAGCCTAGTGGATGGTATGGCTTTGGAGTTGAGGTGATTAATATCCTTCCTTGATTCACTGATAAATTTCTGAAGCCTATCCATTTAGAAAAATAGTAAAGTTATAATCCAAATAGATTCAAGATGGATAAAGGAAGACCTAAATATGAAAAAACAACAAAAGACAAAATACTCATGAAGAAAATACAGGAAAAAACCTGACAGATCTGCTTGGTAGAAAATATCATAAATGGGGTTAAAACACAAACAACTGAATATACGTTAATAATCACAAAATATAATGAGGTTCTAAATATCATTAAGAAAAAGGCAAACATCTCAAAAGAAATATGAATAAATGATATTAATAAGTAACTCAAAACAAGGACTGTAAGGTGTAACAGATCAGTAAATATCACTTATACATAAACCCAAATTAAAACAAGGTACCAATGATACCTCCTAGATTAGCAAATTAAAAATAATGAGAGACAGTAATAGTAGTAGAAAGAGAAATCGGCAGAAACGTAAGAGAAATTACATTCCTGCTGGAGAAGTGTTAATTCATGCAACTGTTCTGAGGGGCCATTTGATAGTGTTTTCACATCTTGATATAGCAATTACAGGATAAAAAATTATCCCAGAGATATTCACAGAAAAATGCAGAGACATGCAATGAAAATTGAGGATATCTTAGAGTCAGTCATAGGAGAAATGGTGAAATAAAATATGGTACTCATACTACAGAAAAAGATGTTTAAAAAACTGAGGTGAGTTTCCACATGGGAAAAGCTAACCACAGAACACTGAGTTATAGAACAACATGTAAGGAGGTAGCCCATTGTATAAACCAAAGTCAGAAAAACCACAATTTACATGCAGTATATATACACAGAGAAAAAAACTGGAAATATTAACAGTGGTAATTTACAAAGAGTAATTAGGATCACTGTAAATCTGAATTTTTATTTTCTTTTTATATTGTTTGAAGTTTTAATATGAATATAAATTATGTTCGGTATTTTATAAGAACTCTTGTTTTCAAGCTGATTTTCTACTTTAGAAAGTTTGATGAAGATTTAATGTTTTTGCTTTAAAATGTCTGGACGAGTTTAGCATTGTTTCATCGTATCTTTTTATACTGTCCCTATAAAAATTTTCCCTTTGCATTAGCTATATCATCCATCATTGTCCAGCAGAAATTTAATGTGAGCCACATATATAATTTTAAATGTTCCAGTAGCTGCGTTAAAAAGTAAAAATAAATAGGTGAAATTAATTTTATTTTTTATTTATTTTTATTTTTTATTTCTGCTTTTTTCCAGTTTTATTGGGAAATAATTGACATACAACACTGTATAAGTTTTAGGCGTACAGCATGATGGTTTGATTTACATGTATTGTGAAATGATCACCTAGGTGAAATTAATTTTAATAAAACATTTTTATCAAACCAAGAGAGCCAAAACATCATTTGAACACGTGACCAATATAAAAATTATCAAGATATATACATTGTTATTTTCTACTAAGCCTTCAAAATCCAATGTGTATGTTATACTTAAAAGCAAGTCTCAAATTGAACACTAAATTTCAACCAGAAAATATTTAACTTGTATTTTGATTTCATAAAATTCACATTTGAAAAAGTAGATTCACATATCCAGGCTGTTCTAAATATACTTAAGAGTCTTCTGATAATTGAACTGAATATCAGTTTCAAAATCAGATTTAGTTAAAATTAAATAAAATGAAAAATTCAATTTCTAAGTCATATTAGCTACACTTCAAGTAATCATGCTGTACATGTGACAAGTGGCTATAAAGTATATGCTGATCTTTTAGTTCTTGTTTGCTACTATTTTTCATCTTCATTTACTTTTCATCACTTAAGACAAATCTGGACCTTTTAAACTTTATCTGTTTCTTTGGCTATGTATTATGTTCCACTGGTCAATCTGGTTTTGTTCCAGTGCCATGTTGATCACTGTAGCTTAACAAAAATGCTCCCCTTAGAAATACTGAATGTCTTTATTTGATTCTTTTATCTCCCTCCAAGACTGGAGGAACACATCCAGAAACTAATTAAAGGCTGTGTAGGATGCTGGGTCTCTCACACTCTGGACGATAAAATGCATTAGGTAACCAAAGTAAAAAAATAAATAAATAAAAGTAACTGAACTTTATATAGAAAAGGGCAACTTGGTAATCTGACAGCTCTCTTCTGCAACCTCATCAGCTTACAGCAGGCAGAAGCGGCCCGAAGGATGTGCTTGAATCTTGACACGAGGCCATCAACTCCCCAGCATCACTCAGGAAGGGATTTTTCCTTTCATGGTACAGAGGGGAGGAGGGCACCTGTTTGCTTTCTATGGGAAATACAATTGTATGGTTTTTATGCCAGCATCTGCCTTCACTGATAAGAACTGTAAAAGACATGTCTCTGAACAGCAAAGAACTGAGTTTTTAATATTGCCCTTGAGTCTAGCAACTTTGTTGAAGTCATTTAATTCTAATACTTTATCTGCAGATTCTTTTGAATTTCTATGAATTCAATAATGTTGTGATGATTTTTTCTTTTCTAATTCTTATATATTTAATTTATTTTTCCTGTCTTATTATATTGGCTAGAACTTCTATCACAATGTTGAATGAAGTAAGTGATAGTGGCATCTTTACTTTTTTCCAAACTTAAAGGGAAAGCTCCCAACATTTTACCATTAAGAATGTGGTTTGCTGTTGGCTTTATATATTATTCCTTTATCAGATTTCAAGAAGTTTCTTAAGTTTTTAAAATTAGTGATATTAAATTTTATCAAATGATCTCCCCCATTAAGACGGTATTATTCTCCCCCTTTATGCAATTAATGTGAATTGCACTGACTGATTTTCTGATGCTAAATCAACCTTGCAATTCTTGGAATAAACCTGACTGGATTAGGATCTAGCAGTCTTTTTACGTTATTGGTGGATTTTAGCTTTCTCATATATGAGTGAGACTAGCTTGTAAATTCCATTTTCATACTATTCTTGTCAGGTTGTATAAGTTCATAAAATGAACTGGAGAGTATTTCTTCTTTTTCTATTTTCTAGAAGACTGAGTTAATAGGAGTTTCTATAGCCATAAAAACATAAATAGGGATTACTGATTTAGCCAAGCACTATGATGTGACTATATTACATAAGTGGGAGGAAGGAAACTATATATGTGTTTATGGTGTAGGGAGTTGCTGGGTGAGGTAATGTAAGATAATAAATCCTCATCTTCCACAACAGGACATCAGAAGATAACTGAATTGAAAAATCAAAGGGGAAGTGAGGATGGGAAGCTGTAGGACAGGATGCTGCTGCTTTCTCTCATAAGCACTGTACCACTTGTCTTTTTCTATGTGTATATAGTATTTTCTTGAAAATAAAATTAAGCTTGAAAAAAAAAACTATCTAAACAAAAGAATCCCAGGGCCTAACAAATCCCTTTTAGTTTTAAAACTCTGGATAATCACCTGAGTCATCTCTTGAACAAGAAGGAGCATATCTGTAACACCAATAATTATTGTTAATTATGTATTATTTCAACCCCAAATCCTTCCCAAATGAAGAGCCAAATTATCTACATGTTAGTATGGGGTACATAAAAAGCTGCCTCAAAAGGCCAAAACACAAAGCAAATGTCTTCACTTTATCAGATTAGGTTGAATTTACACTACAACTGACATGCAATTTTTCAGGAATATAAAGTTGGTTTGATCTGCTGTGCAAACACACAGGATTAGTCATTCATCTCTCATGAGCTGATAATTAATGAAATTAAGCGCTTGAGTCAAAAGAATAGATGTGTTTGTATAAGTGGAATTACCTGAAGAAAGTCACGAAGAACTGTACCAGGTCCATAAAATTGCTGTGCTGGGAGAAGGCAATCTGTGACAGAAAAACAGGCAGTATGATTAGGTAGGTTACAAGACAGCGCCATCAACTCAGTCTTCTTGGTTCAAGAGGGAGGCAGAAAGACATTACAACTTCAGGAAGAGAGTAATGAAATTTTTTTCACCTGAAGAAAAGTGCCTCATCCCCTTAGTTTTTCTTACTTAACAGCCAACCCAGAAGTGATGTTCTAAGACTCCACACAAACTCCTACGGCCCCTCTGCTCATGACATCAGATCTCACAGATCTTGGTTCTTTCAGTCTGACCTGGAAGATGTCTCAGATTCCCTACATGAAAACCCCAATGACAAGCAAGTCAGTTTACTTGCTGCATCCTTGTGCCCTTGTCAAGACAAAATGCTCTCCTCATTTGCTTCAAATTCCAATTCTTAGATCTACTGTGAGGTGGGCAGCCTCCTTTTGTGCCCTTTCATCGCTCTGACACTTAACGTGCTCAGTGTGTACTCACTTCAAGACAATGTCCTTTTTTAAAAAAACCATATCCCAAATTTTACTATGTTGAATATCTTCTGACAATATAACACCAGTAGGAACTTAAAATAACTTTATTATACAGTTAATAGTCTTTATATCAAGAATATTAAAAAAAATCCTTAATGTAGTTCATCAAATCTAAGATACCACTAGAAAAGGCATTATTTTATGTATTATTAAGAAAAACACTGCCAATTAAACTACGACACAATGCTTTTAAAATTGTAAAATGTATCATGATTTCAGAGATATTAGAATATGAAAAATGTGCACCTTAGGATTTATTACTAAGTATGATAACTGTGTCCTTACTATCTTGGGATACACACAGTAGTGGCCAGATGTTATGGTGTGTTCTCTGCTTTTTTTTTAAGGGACCACAGACCTCTTTGAAGAGATAATGGTATTATAAATGAAACAATTCTACTGAATAAGATGATAATTAATCAAGTGAGGACAGTAAGTATGACAAGAATCACAGAAGTAAATGATTAGCATCTTCTCCTCCCAATGCCCCCCAAACCCCCTCACCTGCCCTTGTCAACACCCCTCCTACAGCAATGCAAGGGAAGCGCTGCAGCCTCGGCCCCAGCACGGTCACAATTCAATGCCTGCTCTCTTTATAGCTAGACTCACTGAGGCAGAAGAGAAGTTTCCAATGCTTTCCTTTTTGATGGTTTTATTTTCTTCTTGACATTTTATAAATAAGTCAAGTTCCAGTACTGCCTGTTCAGGCCACAGAATATTACGGGGCACAGAATCTCAAGTTTTTGTGGCCTCCCTCTAGCCACCATTTATAATCAGAAATACAAAGATACATAGATTTCATATAAACAAGGAGAAACCACATTCTTTGTTTTTCCTTTTCTTCATTTATTACAGTAACCAATCCTAAATAAGAATGCTCCTTGAGGGAAGGAAAACTGCACAATGTGGCCATAGTCCTTACATAAAAGTTTTTAATAAGACTGGAGAAAAAAACAATTACATAAACAAGGTTACTCAATCTTGAGGAATGAAGAATCCAGGTTATAACACATAAAGGAGAAGGAAACAGAGTCTAGCGCATTCAATTCTGTTTAGATTTTTCTCTTAAAACATTAGTATGTCCTCAGTGTTTCAACTTAAAGAAATTCAAGAGATGATTTAACTCATCGTAGGGTGCCAAAAAGTTTGGATGCTAAAGGCACCTTCTGAGGATGCAGCAGGTTTCCATGTGCCCTTTGCCACATACCACTCCTCAGGCAGCTCCCCCAGCACTGGGATTCCAATCATTAGCCTGACTTCTTGCTAAAGCAGGGCCACACCACATTCACGTCCAACTTAAAATCATTAAGAACCACTATAAACTAGCTGCCAGTGTGGCTGGTACCCATGACTCACATTACTCTAAAAGTGGTCTTCTTTTATTGAATGTTTATCATCTAAGTTTCCAAAGTTACAAGGTTTCACAGGAAAGCAAGAGTCGTAACATGAAAATGTTTATGAATGGACCAGCCGCTTAAAAACATCTATTCCTTCTTCACATGCTATTCACTGTGTCAGTCTTTGTTGATTTATCTTTGATTGACAGGGTGGTGAATTTATTGTCCAAACTTCTGAGAGTGAAGGAGAGTACTATCAAAAAGTACACTGGGACAACAAGCATGAATTGTCCCCACTGTCCCCACTTACAGACTGTCAAACAATGCAAACCACTGCAAAATCAATCTTGCAAAAGATGAGATTTTGCTATTGGAGAACTAATCACACAAAACCACAAAGACAAATGGAGTCTTCTTGGCATAATTATCAACTGAAGAGGAATGAAGTATAAAGATTTAAAACCTTCAAAATACTCTGAATAGCATTGAGAGGATTTGGGAAAACTGTTAAGACCCTTGACTATTGACTTTGTTTTTGTTTAAAATTGAAGTATAGTCAGTTTACAATGATCAATTTTCAGTGTACAGCATAATAGTTCAGTCATACACATACATTAATATATTCATTTTCATATTCTTTTTCATTATAGGCTACTACAAGATATTGAATATAGTTGTTTTTTTTTAATCAAAGTACCGTCAGTCACAATGTGTCAACTTCTGGTGCACAGTACCATGTCCTAGCCATGCACACACACACAACTTATTAGTATAGTTTTAAAATCATGCTGTGAAGTCAAATCTGAAGTGAAGGGCTCATTCCTGCTGCCTTGTCTCTGAGCACCATCTGCACAACTGAAGCCACACCCCTATCTTCTTACCTTGCTCGATTTTTGTTCATAGCCCTTAAATGTACATTTCTTTATGGTCTTTTCTCCCACTAGAAGGTAAGATCCATAAGGGACTCTGCCACTGACTACTATATCTCTTATGCCTAAAGCAGTGACTGTCATGTAAGAGGTGCTTAATAAATATTTGCTGAAAAAGTGAATATAATAATTGAAAAATAATGACCCCATTCCCCCTCTAGTAAGACCTGATTGAGTTTTCTTCTAAGATTGGCTCACAGCTGCAACCGTAATTTAAATTTTGTTAACTGTGAAATTAAAAATAAACATTTCCCATACTTCTGAGTTTCACTTTTCAAAATAATATCCCAATCATACCTTTCTTTTATGATTTATTATAAAAATGCTGAAATGTGTTTGTGGGCTTTTCTGATACTAAGGATAACGAAGACTTCCTATAACAAAACCTATTTAATACAAGGAAGAAAATTCCATTACAATTTATAAATGAAACTCATAATTTCATTCTTCTCCCTTTCTAAATGGTAAGTATTACTCTCCACACACCAGAAAAATTCTAGAATTTATGTCCCCTTACATTTCCAACTCAACTTTCAGCAATATGTTTGAGATGTGCTTGTCTAGCGTGTTACATAAACTGAAGCATGGAAGCCCTCCGAGCCCCAGGCTTTGGGGTAGGATATTGTAAACTTGCACTTCCCAAGCACTAATTTTGTGCTTCAGCCAAATAAATGTTTTCTGGTTGCAGTACTACTACTGCCCTTGAACCTCTGGCACCTTTAACCTCTCCCCCGCCCATCTGCAGTGGGGGTCCTCCTTGTCACTTATGGCCCAGCACAAACACTCCCTTCCTCGTTCAGCTGCCCCATCCTCCACTGGGAATTGGCTCTCTCTTTTCTACACTCCCTCAGCACTTGACCCACTTCCCTTTCAGGGCATGGAATAGTCATACTCTACCTTATACTATGGCAGTAGTGATATCCTGGGAAAGAGGGTTCCTGTATTCTGCAGTCTATGAAAATATCAGTTATTGACTCCTATGAAAATACCAATTATTGCTCAGGAGAAAGAAAAGGTAATTTCCCACCTCTCACACAAGAGCAGATGCACCTTTGTAGTCTGTTGTTGTTATTTCTTGATTTAGCCATTTTAGGCATCACCTACTAACTTCATACTATATTAGGTGATCCAGGCCATCATTCCCCATCCCTGTTGGAGGTGTTCTCTCACTGTTTTTAGTGCTTCTGTTAGTTTCTGAGTTGTTATCTGGAGGGCGATGGCAATGGAAAGATGCCAAAACAGACAGGAAAAGGATACAACACCCTGGGAACCCTTAGATACAGGAGAGGATGTGCCTGTTACCCACAAAAGGCTGGAGGAGCAGAAGACAACACAGCCACGGCCCACTGGAAAGCAGCCTCCCACACCTCATGGGCCCACAGGGAGGAGCCCTCAGGCCTCTGATGCTCCACTGCTCGAGGCGGGAGGAGTCAGTAGCTCTTGGGGAAGCTCCCTTTGCCATCACCACCAGGGTGAAGTGCACTGGGCTGAGGGAGAAGAGGTCTTCCTTGGACCTCTGCTGATTGTTCTAAAACTGCCCAACAGTGGCTAATAACCAATAAACTTCTAGTCCAGTGCTGCATATTTCCTGCAAAGGAGAATGGAAGGTCAGTTCTGAGGTACGTCCCAGCCGGCCTAGACGGCAGGCCCAGCCGAGGCATATTCTTACAGCTACTTTGGGGAAGCTAAATGATATACTTGGACCTTTATTTTTTATTTCATCATCTGTGTTATCTTTTAAATTTTTTTTAATTGTGGAGAGAGCAGCATCATGAACCCCATGTGCTCACTGCCCAGCTTTAATAATTATAGCTCACTTATTTATCAAATAATTGTTTATTTTATCCGCACTCTACCCAGCATCTGGCCTGGCTCCTTCTCTTCTCTCATGGCTGCCTCTCTGGGCCAGAAAGTCAGCTAAGTGAGTGGAGGTTAAAGGAAGTCTAGTGGGTCCTGGCTATGGTGACCACAGGAGAGAGGTATGCTAGAGACAGAGATTTACCCATCCCAGCCACAGGTGGTGCCCACAGATGGTGTGGTGTCCAGGGAGAAAGGTCCAGAGGAAACCCAAGGGGACAACGGCATTGAAGAGCTAAGAAGAAACAGCCAAAGCCACAGGTAAAAAGCAGAAGAGAAGACTCTTTCAAGAAGAAGGAAACATAAATAACAATCAGGGTGATGCAAACCATGAGGCAGTACAAAAACTTT